CATTACATACCATTACATTACATTACATTACATTCATACATACATTCATACATTACATTACATTACATACATACATACATACTTACATACATATATATATATATATGTATTATATACATACATATATACTGCATATAAATATATATACATATAATTATATATATATATCGAATGGCTAAATGTATCAAACCTTTCCAGCCGCATGGGGATCATCATGCCAATGGCTCAAATCGGCCTGTTCGTTCGTTCGTTCGAATCGAGTGGGAAAATTGGAACATCCAGCAAATGGAGGTTTACCCACTATTTTTATGGTGATTTAATGGTTAACAATGGTGAATAATGGGATGATAATGGGATGATAATGGGATGATAATGGGATGAAAATGGGATACTACCCTCTGGTAATGACTAAGAGTTTAGCTATGGAAAATGGCCCAGTCGAAATAGTTGATTTGCCCATACAAAATGGTGGATCTTTCCATAGTTTTTTGTATGTTTACCAGAGGGTAGTTTTAAAAAAAAAGCTTGTGTAATGATGGGAATATTTGATGGGGATTTTTTAATGTGTTAATGGGATTAGAATGGGATGAGATTGTTATTTTTTGAATACCTACTACCTGCATAATACACTAATCACACCTGTCCCCATCATGTCAACCCCGGATGAATAACCAGCCAGAGCCGTCTGAGCTGTTTAATTGGGTAGTACCATTTGAAGAGCAAATGAAGAAATTTGGGAAATGCCCGCTATTTTAATCAACCAGGATCTATTTATTCAGGGGGGACATTGAGATGTTTGATGCCCAGGTCAGCTGAAGCTCTACTCTAGCATCTTTGTCTCTGCAGGGGGTTTCACTATTCAAAAATAGCGTTCTTAGGTAAAAATTAATTCCCCAAAGATTATGACTGGTTGGTGGTTTTTTCCAACCCCTCTGAAAAATGATGGAGTTCGTCAGTTGGGATGATGACATTCCCAATATAATATGGAAAGTCATAATCCATTCATGTTCCAAACCACCAGTATATCTCATTAACCATTATGAACCATTATTAGCCAGTATTAACCACCATAAAATGGCTGTTCCAGTCACCACCAACAGGCGTTGTTTCTGGTTGTGCTGAATTCAGTAGCCCTGTCCGTTGTGGTGTTCCCCACAGATTCATCCAGGATTCTCCAGTGGATCCCACCAGGCTAGGAAAAAAATCACATCCCACTAGATACCCTTTGGTAAACTGCCACATAGCTATGGAAAATCACCATTTTTAATGGGAAAATCAACTATTAATGATGGTTAATGATGGTTAATAATGGTTAATATTAGTTAATAATATGGTTAATAATCGTTAATAATGATGGTTAATGATAGATCATAGTTTTCAAAATATGGTTAAACCAGATGGTGAAAATATCTACATATCCTATCTATTCCCACTATGTCCCAATCTTATCCGTTTTTTTGATGGTGACGATATCACCTGATCTTTTTTGTTAAACGTCACAAAGGGCAAATCCGAGAAGCGAAGAGATCCAGCAGACTGATCAAAGGATTGATGATGAATTGGTCCACCTGAGCTGACCATGTCTGACTATCCCAAAATTGATATGGTGGTTTCATGGTGAAACCAGCAAAATGGTTGTGTTTTATAATTTTATTAATTGTGAAATATTTTATTTTACAATCACATCCAGGATTATTATATAATGGGATTGTCACTCATATGAGTGGTTTTTGTAGTTGAGATCAGTTGAGATATAATGGTTCACTAGTTATAAGTTGAGATATAATAATGAGGCATAGAGTTGAGGTATAATACCCATTGAGATGATGTTTATAGTGAAAAATCGCGGTTTTTATTATGCTTTGATAGTTGAGATATAGTCCAATAGTGGTGTTTCATGCTGGTTTTCAACTGTGGTGGTAAAAAATGTGGTGTTTGATCCTGATCGTGAATGAGTGGTTAATGGTCTAATAATATGATGCTGATTGTTCATATATTAGTCTGGTTGGTGGTTTCAACCCACCCCTCTGAAAAATATATAAAAATATGAGTTCGTCAGTTGGGATTATGACATTCCCAATATATGGAAAAAATTGTTCAAACCACCAACCAGTGATGTGATGATTGGTTTAATCGGCTTCCCTTTGGGCCTTTTTCATCAGGATCATCACTGGAGGGGCACCACCTTTTTTTGTAAATCTGTGTAAGATTATGACTGCTTGGTGGTTGACCTACCAACCCCTCTGAAAAATGATGGACTGAGTTCGTCAGGTGGGGTGATGAAATTCCCAACTTGATGGGAAAAATAGTCCAAATGTTCCAAACCACCAACCAGTTCATATTAGTGATGATCGGGTTAAAAGTTGCTAATTTAATGGTGATTGGCAATAGTGAATGATGAAACTGATTATGACATACGACTGATAATGATGAGTAGTGGCTTATAAATATGGTTGAACATGTACTATGATTGGACTGGTCTACTCCTAACAAGGGCATATAACTTAGACTTGCAATCATTTACATACATCTACATACGAAGTACCCTCTGGTAATTTAACATAACTATGGAACAGCACCATTTATAGTGAGTTTTCCCATGAAAAATTGTGATTTTCCATAGTTATGTTAGTTTACCAGAGGGTACGATTTGAACGAAGTTCAATACGAAAGACTCCGAGTTGTCTCCCTCCGTTGAACTCGGGGAGATGTTTGGGAGCTGTGGGTTGCAATCCAAACATCTGTAGTGAAAAACGATGATTTTCATTACCCGGCCTGGTAAACCATAGGAACCATAGGTCAACCATAGGAAAATGGAGGTTTACCCTCTGGTAAACTTACATAGCTGTAGAAAATCACCATTTTTAGTGGGTAAATCAACTATTTATATGGTCATTTTCAATAGCTATGTTAGTCAAAATAGCTATTGAAAATGGCCATGGAAATAGTGGATTTGCCCAGCTACAAAATGGTGGATCTTTCCATAGTTTTTTGTATGTTTACCAGAGGCTATGTTATACCACAGGTGGTCAGTCCTTTGGGATGATTGGCATTGGCCGTACCATGTATATATATATATATCCATCCACCCCATGATCCAAAAACATGTCACATTCAATCATGAACATATGAACATAAATTCAATTAACAACTAATCAATGTTATAGCTGGGCAATAGTAAAACATCCCCAATTTCATCATAAATGGTGTGTGTAAACCATCAATAAATAGTTGGTATATCCATCTGTTTTCCGTATGAATTCCGATAATTCACACGCCTCAAAGAAAAATTGGCCAGTGAAGTCACTTTCGGATTTTCGTCTACGCCGTGCAGGGAGCCATGCGCAATCCAAACTTGCTCATGTGGTAAACCCAATGCCATAAAGCTACCATTTCAGGATGGCTTGTACCTCCCATTTACAGTGATTTTGGGGATGGTTTATTATGGTTTATTGACCCACGTTATCGAAAATCCTCAGGTTTAACAAAAAATAATAATCATCTCATTTTGATGGTTCAATCACCGGTTTTGATGGCGAAAACATGGCACAACATAATCCAAAATTGGCTACTATCACGGTATTTTCGAATATAAAATGGGAATGAGAGCAGAGGGAAAATCACCGTATCTATGGTATTTTCAAACATGATCAATAGATGTTTTTGGCTATGGTATAAACTATATATAACTATATAACATCAACCACTCTTCACCATGAAATCATGATGAATTATATAAGTCCTCGTGGTTTTTCACAAGGTCAAACACCCATAAAAATCCCAGTAAATCCCATAAAACATCCATAAAAACTGCTTGGTGCTTGAGCCCTACCCCTCTGAAATATGATGGAGTTCGTCAGTTGGGATGATGACATTCCCAATATTAATGGAAAGTCATAATCCATTCACGTTCCAAACCATCAACCAGTATATCTCATTAACCATTATTAACCACCATAAAATGGCTGTTCCAGTCACCACCAACCAGAAAAATATTCAACATGGCCCGGTGATATTTATGAGTTTTATGGTTACATTCGCCTGGACCAAGGCACCAAGTTGATGAGGTCAACGCTAATGGAATTCAGGACGCCACTCACGGTGTCATCGAAGTACTGGAAGCCCTACGCCAGGTTCGGCGACTTTTGCCCCAGGTTACCGAAGAAATGCCGAAGAAAAACAGAGAAAAACCAAGACAAAGTGGGATTTAGATGGATTTAGATGGATCTACACTTAATATAGCTGACTTTAAACTTATCTCAGTTGGTGAACATAACTCAGATAACTTATGACTTTACGATACATACATCATCATACATCCATAGTTGATGAGGGTTGTAAACCAACTCCATCTTCTATGAATATTCAAGTTTCTATGAAAATGGGCTATACCCCAATTTTATCCAAAATTGCAGTGCTTAAAGCTTTTTCTTGTCCATTAAAAATTGTGGGGTGGCCCAATTTCAGACAGACCCCCTCTGTGGTGTTTTAAGAGGCAAACGAGGATTGTAGGATAGATCGGCTGGTTTACAAATTGGATGACTAGGATTTATTGTGGATGGGTTATGGGGGATGCCTCAAAATGGCGACCCCAAGTTATTCAAGTGTGACTTTTACAGGGAAGCCAACCGATGTTGAGAAACACAAAATTTCAAACATACCCCTAATTCGATTAGATATGATTAGATCATTTTTCCCCACTAAACCAAGGTGACCATTTTGTTGGGGGTAACTATAAGGTGGGCCCCGGGGGTGCCCATTTTGGTGGGCCCCGGGGCCCCGGGCGATTCCGCGAAACCCGAAGCACGCCTTGGTCAAATCCAAACCGATGTTCTTCAAGTTGTCTTCAAACCTCGCCGCGAAAGTCACCGACTGGCGACTGTGGGGAAGGGATACATCAGGAAATAAACCATGGCAATGACATCACACACACATATATATATATATATACAATTATATACATGTTATATATATAGTTTATCTGTATAACATGATATGGAATGATATCTAATACTTAATATGCCTAATTAAGTATAATATAAGATTATTGTGCTATGCGTAAATTCTATGTGCATGTATGATACAGGTGAAAAGGGCTAGAAAATGAAAGTGCAAATGAGTTTGCTCCATTCCATCCCCTACAAAACATGATTCAACAACTGGTGGGGACAATGAGATTGAATTCCCCCATTCTCCGTCCGGCACTACAACCATATCAACCCTGGCTGGAACTTCCTGACTTACATTTCTTAGAAAGTATCCTGGCCAGAAATTTAGATCCACCATCTAGATGATTTTCCCATTAAAACCTTTATTTGTAGGCATGTCCCTTCATGTTTGATTACCGGAGGATAGTGAGTTTTCCGACCAGCCCTGTTTCTAACTGGTGAAGCCACAACCAGCCCCGGCGCGCCAATGAAAAAACTGCTTGGTGGTTTAACCCGTTTTACCCAAAAATGTGCTCGTCATCTCAACCAATCATCCCAAGCGTGAATAACACCACCAACCAGATATCTCATGAATTCCACCAAACTACAAACACCCCTCTGAGATATCGACCAACATGATCAAATCATACTTTAAAAATCCTGCAAAAAATCCCAGGCGAAGAGCCATCATGAAAAAAGGACCCCTGGCCCTATTCAAAGGGATGCTATTCAGCTTTGCAAAGGTCAGAGGCAATTTGGCTACGAACAAGCAACAAAATGCATTGAGGTAGCCCAAAATGGAAAATATTGGTCATATTTTAATTTAAAATAAAAAATGTAAAAATAAAAATGAAAAAATAAAACAAATAGTTGTTCATATGTTTTTTGGGCCGATTTTTTGCTTCCAATACTACTTTTAGAAGGGGGCAGGGCACCCTTCTGCTCAACGACCTCGTCCCACACCTCACAACGCGGAAAAAATATGTTTTCATAGAAAAAAATGTTTTTCCATATTTTTTTGGGGGCCCAATTCCATCAATTTTCAAATATCATAAAACAAGATAAAATCAAAATAATTTTGCAAAAAGACTCTGATTAGCACCCCTTCGAATAGAGCCCCAGCAAGCTGGGTCAAGGTGAGGCCGTTCACCCCAAAGCTGGCTGAGTCGGCAATGGGGATCACGATGATCACGAGGGACGGCAAATGAAGATCAACGTTCATGGAGGTTTTAATGGGGAAACCATAGGAAAACCATAGGAAAACCATAGGAAAACCATAGGAAAACCATAGGAAAACCATAGGAACATGGTGGTTAGTAATGGTTAATAGTGGTTAATGATGGTTAATCATTGATTAATTATATCTGGTTGGTGGTAGAGCCCTACCCCTCCGAAAAATATGAGTTCGTCAGTTGGGATGATGAAATGATATGGCTTGTGGCTTGACAAAAAAGATAAGAACTGCTACGACATCCAAATGGAAAGACTATTTCGAACTACTATCACGATGATGGAACTACCAGTTTAACATACCCTCTGGTAAACTAACATAGCTATGGAAAATCACCATTTTTAATGGGAAAATCCACTATAAATGGCCATTTTCAATAGCTATTTTGACATAACCAGAGGATACCAGAGGGTATATTTTTCCTTCTTATATGGCTTGACCCAGAAACAGGATGAAACAGGTAGCTCGCGGATGAGCCCAGGTCGGTGACCCCCCAACAATAGTCGCCTTTTGACAAAGGCGTGCTCTCTGGTAGTTTCATAGGGCTATGGACATTGACCCAATCATTTATAGATGATTAATCTATTCAGCATGGTGATGTTCCATAGCTATGTGACATTACCAAAGGGTAGCTGAATCCCTATGAGTATGGTTCACCAAAAGTTTCATGGTCAGGCATGTTTGTTATTTGCAGTTTACCACACTGCCCCCCGAAGGCAACCTCCAAAAATGTTTGGGGTTATGTTGTTGGCCTAGTGGTTGGTGTTAATTAGTGAAAAACAACTTAATGAAGGAATTTGTTAAAATTGATGCCACAACTTTTTTGATGCTGAAAAGCCCCCCCCCAGACCTGCCCGCCCAAAAGCCCCCCATGGCATGTCTTTCATGCAAATTCCATGTCATGTCATACATGGACATGATGCCACAGTCATGGCAAGACATCCCGTGTTCAGACATGACATGTCATACATGGACATGCCATGGTCATGGCACGTCATGCCATGTTCCCATCTCATGTGACCATGACATGACAAGCTCCACATGAAGCAGGTCATGCTCCCAACTCATGTTCAACCGTTCATTTCTTGAAGATTGGTTTCAAAACTCCTGTCGGTTTCGAAGAGCTGGCCACCTCTCTCTCCTTGCGGTGAAAATGTGAAACGGTGGAATCTACAATGGCATGGAACATTGCCACATGTTTGGGTTCTTCTCCCTTCAACAGCTCTTTTTGGACAGCTTCCCTCACATCTTGGAGCGATAAAGCTTTGGGGTCCGATTCCTCCATCAAGGTTTTTACAAATTTCTTCGCTTCTTTCTTGAAGTCTCGCTGATCAGGGGACTCATCTTTCTTCTTTGGCATTCCTGCGGGGGCCGGACAGTGGGCTAGTGTTAATGTTGCATGAATTTGGGACACCCATGGCAGGCATGCAAGTCCATGGTGGTAAACGAAACCATGACTCAAACATGACACACATGGGAAACATGGCCAACAAACATGAATACCCACGGTCCCTAACATGGCAAGCATGGCAAAACTCCATGGATGACAAGCATGAAACTCCATGTGTGGCAAGCATGGGCTGGCCAATTGGGCTGCCCCAATTGGCCAGCATCATCCCGTCGTCCGCATGAGCCTGTGAGCACGGTACAAGGCTCCCCGCTGGGTGCTGGACATTTTCAATCCAGTCAGGTCTATCCAGCGGACTTTATCCAGGATGGAGAATGGAATTTGGTTCTCCGAGTCCAAGGTGAACCCCCAAAGGTGACTCCGTCAAGGGGACCACGCCAAAGCGGTGGGACATGGTGTTCAATGCCTCCATGACAGCCGGAAGCTCCTTCAGCTTTCTGCCCATGTTGGTGTAGCGCTGGCAAGTGCTGAGGTTTTTAAAGGACCAGATGTCAGAATGCATCCTCCCAAAACCATGACAGTTGGTATGTCAACATGAGAGCATGTCAGCATGATGACAAGCATGTCAACATGGAGTCATGGCCATGTTAAGTCGACATGGAGTCATGGCCACATAGCATCATGTCAACATGGAGTCATGGCCACATGGCACCATGTCAACATGGAGTCATGGCCGCGTTATGTCGACATGGAGTCATGGCCACATGGCATCATGTCAACATGGAGTCATGGCCATGTTAAGTCGACATGGAGTCACGTCCACATAGCATCATGTCAACATGGAGTCTTGGCCACATGGCACCATGTCAACATGGAGTCATGGCCACGTTATGGCCACATGGCATCATGTCAACATGGAATCATCACAACAACTGGTTGCATGGCAACACGGAAACATGGCAACCTGATCAACCATGTTATGGCATGCAATCAGTGACAAATCCATGTCAATCATGTCATGACATGTGAATGGGAAGGCCAGGGTGCCATCCCCGCATGTAGCTCCCTTTGCTCAACAAGGCCTCGATCGCCTTGTCCTCCGACAGGACCATTTCGGTCATTGCGCCGTCCACCATCTTCGCTAGGACAAGGCGCTTGTCGGCCGCCCCGAGTCCAATGACTTGCCGGTCCCGTTCTTCGTCTTCGACCAGACCTACTAGTAGGTTAGGTAACTCGGAGCTAAGGTGGGAAATTAACATGAACTCCCTGATGCCAATAAGTGTTGGAAAACTAATTCAACCGTGGTGCCGAACTTTGCCAAGTCGAACTGCGAGCCCACGCCGTAGCTGTAGAATTCCAACACGATGTCGGCAAGCTCTCTCTTCAACCAGTGGCAAATGTCACTGGCGTTCCTGAACCAAAAGGCTATCAGAAGCGCAGCTGCCAACTCGGAATCGCCGTTGAGCCGCTGCAGGTCTTTGATCTTGTTAGTGTCTGAAGTCCACAGATCCGAATTCACCTTCACGGTGAGAATGATTTCCCCTTTTCCCTGAAACACCGTCCCACTTCATCAAGACAGTCTCGATCCTGCGAGTCTGCCATACGCCCACTGCCCTTTCCTTAACAAGTTATGTCCATGGTAGGGAGCCTATGATAAAGTCAACATGTGGTACCACAAACCCATATGCGGGGCATGTTGCAAGTCATGGGCATGTTGGACATGTCATGGTCAAACTCCCATGTGAAACATGATGGCATGTCATCAGCATGTTGGACATGTCATGGTCAAATCCTATTGAAACATGAGAAAATTCATGAGCATATTGAACATGTCATTGGCAAACTCCCATGTGACACACTTGCAAGGCATGAGCTGGCTAAACTGTTGCTGAATCTCACAAGTGACATGTTGTGGGACATGCTCGGATTTTTCATTTTCAAGCTGACTTCCAGCATGCTGACTGAATAGCTCGTGCGGAACAAGTTTTGACCAGTGTCCCCCAGGGCCAGCATTGCGCAAGACCCCCCAGTCTGAACTCGCCTTCTTCGAGAGCGAGTACTTTGAGTTCATCCACTGGTCGGATTGGGCACTTTGACACCTTCCCTCATCTGAAGCTGTCCATGCCTAAAGCAAAACAGGGCCATGTCATGACGTCATGAGCGAACCGATCTGTTCTATCACCATGAAATCACATGCATGTCTCATCTTCAAAGACCACCCCATGACAAACATGACATTCATGCATGGCTCCAAGATAAATAGGAATATCAGGGTGCGAGGACTTTCCCCATGTAGGAGTCAAATCCCTCACTCATGGCTTCCACCAGAAGTGCTTTCAAGTCCACATCGGTCTTCGTGGATTTCGCCATCTTCCCAAAAGCTCTGGTTAGGCTAAATTCTATCTATTAGGTTATATCTTGTTTTCTGACTATTAGTTAAATTGTGTTTTTACCGATTAGGTAAAACAACTGTTTTACCTAATAGTCAGAATGATCGAATAACATTTTTTCTTTAGGTTATTTATATGAATAAACTTTTTTCTTATAGGTTATTTATATGAATAACCTGTATTGGTACCTTTTTTGGAGAAACTTCGTTTTCTTTATATACCAAAAAATATTTTGTAATCTCCAATTACACATTTTTTGGTTTGATACATTTTTCCGATAAAATGATGCTGAAAAAAACTAAATACAAAAGAAAACCAGAAAACATATATTTTGGATTGGACAAACCGACACAGGATAGAAACAAAAAACACATGTCAAAAAAGTAATATATTGTATATACATGGATATGTCTCAAAACGAGGTGTCTTTTTTTGGTTCCTAAAAGGGTTCTTTGATAGAAACAAAGGACACCTCATTTTGAGACAACCTCCCCCACACACACACATATATATATATATACACATAATTATAGATATAAATACAAAACATTACACACACACATATATATATATACACATATATATATATACATAGATATATATAAATAAGTTTGAATAAATAAATAAAGAAAAAATAACTATATATAAATAAATTTTAAAAAAAACATGGTTTGCAAAAATCAGCGATTTTTTTTCGGGGCGCGAAACCACCACAGGACAAAACCAAAAAAAATATAAAACATAAAAATAAAATTAATGTTCAGTTCAAGAAAAAACAATTAAACCAAAAACTCACATAGCCAACAACCCAAAATAAGAAATTCAAAAACTGTGAAACATATGGTTCAACAAGTAATTTGCCAGCTGCATTGTGTTTCGAAAAACACGAATTCATGTGAATTCATGGGTGCTCATGCGCGCTCAAGTGGTCATGGGTGTCCATGGATGTTCATGGTTGTTCATGCGTGTGTATGGGTGTTCATGTATTTTTGTTTGTTTGTCATTTTGTTTTGCTGCCATCCACTTTCTTTGAACTTAAAAAAATGAACGTGAGATGGAGGTCCCAGCCCTGGGCCGATTTCTTTGTTGAATTATCGGCAATCCAAGGGTTTGAAGGGGCCTTTTTTGAAATCAGTTCAGGCAGCAGTAGTTTTATAAAGACAAACTGTCAAGACTGGATGGCCTTTCATGGTTGTATTCAATTTTTTTTGCAAAAAATAAACGGCCAATCCAGCCCAGACTTGATCAATCACTAAAGGGCCTCCAGCCCTCGATATCAGAAAATCAAACACAATTAGCAATAACCTGGGGCTCTCCATCCTTGACATTTATGCCAAAAAAAATCTGACTATATAAAGACAAACAATGACTTGGTGTTCAGCATTCACATTTTCTATGCAGTTAAACCTGGAATTTGCCAGTAAATTTTTGGTTTTGCAGTTTTCAGATTCATGTTTACAAAAAGAAGGAAAAAGGTTGTCAATCCCAGAGCCCATCCATTACTACGTTACTACGTTTTTATTTCGTCAAACCTATTTGAAAGAAGATGCAATCCAACCCAGGGTTAATCAATCACTTGGGCCTTCCCATGCAAATCCATTTCCTAAAAGTTAATCCAAATGTTTTGCAATGACTTGAGGCCCTCCAATCATCAAATTCATTTACATGTGCATGGGAAAATCTCTCCGAGAAAGTGTTTGGTTGAAGATTTTTTGATCTGGAAAACATGGCTGGTCAAACATTTTTTTGAAAAAAATGCATGTTTTTTTTATAAAAAAAATCTTTTTGAATAAAATTCAGTCTTTTTCTGAATAAATATGATTGTTTTTAACTAAAAACAAAGATTTGAGTAAAACCAAGATTGTTTTGTGAATAAATCCAAGGTTTTTTGAAGATTTTCAAGGAAATGAGGTGTAAGTTTGATGTAAGTTTGCATGAAAACTTTTGAGGTGTAAGTTTACATCAAACTTACACTATGTAAGTTTACACCAAACTTACATATGGATATGGGTCAAAATTGAGGACCTCAGAGACCACAGGTTTAAGTCTATTTTCAGTATTAACCATCGAATAACTGGGATACTCAATTTTGACCCATACCCATATCAAAAGTGTAAGTTTACATCAAACTTACACTGAGAAGTGTAAATTTGCACTTGTATGTGTAAGTTTGATGTAAACTTACACTTTTGATATGTAAGTTTGGTGTAAACTTACACTCTTGATGTGTAAGTTTAGTGTAAGTTTGATGTAAACTTGCACCTCAAAAGTTTTCATGCAAACTTACATCAAACTTACACCTCATTTCCTTGAAAATCTTAAAAACACCTTGGATTTATTCACAAAATGATTTTATTCAAGAGAAATCTGGGTTTTTAGTCAATCAAATGATGTTTATTCAGCAAAAATCTTGATTTTATTTTAAAAAACTTGTTTTTTTTTAATGTTTTTTGTCAAAAAAATGGTTGGTCAATCACTTTTTTCCATCAACAAATCTTCAACCATACACTTTCTGGGAGAGATTTTCCCATGCACATGTGAATGAATCTGATGACTGGGGGGCCCCAAGTCATTGCAAAACATTTGGATTAATTTTCAGGAAATGGATTTGCATGGGAAGGC